TATATATATATATATATATATATATATATATATATATATATATATATATATATATATATATATATATATATATATATATATATAACTAATAATAACTAATATACATATACATATACATACATGAATACATAAAACATAAATACATACCTACATAATACATACATATATATATAAATATGTATGTATGTATATATATATATACGTATGTGTGTGTGTTTGTATGTGAGAGCAAGTGTGTGCAATTGCATATGTATTTACATAAGTGTATACATAGACCGCAGTGCACACACACCTTCGGCACCGCCGCCTGGAATTGGAACGCCGATACGGGCATGGGTCCAGTGTTGGTGGCTGTGAGCTTTATCGCAATTTGAGTAGGGTTGTTGGGATTCTTCTCAAAGTCGAAGACAATCTTGACGTTATTCTTGTTATACACTTCCAGCGTGGGGAAGCCACCGCTACCCCTGACTGGCGCAGGCGCTGGTGCTGAGCCTGTGCGACCAAAGAAACGGAATGATGCATAAAAGTAAGTAATCCTTCAAGCAAAAACATACGCTCAGTACAGTATACTATGTCCAAGTAAAATGTTTATTATAGTGAAGGCATGCCTACAGGTAAGCATCCCAGGAAACGAGCACGCTTATCACAGTATACGTGTACATGTGTGATATAAACACATATGACAAAATATAGGTTGTTGTTGTATAGATATGAACACATACGATAGGATATGGGTTGTTGTTGTATAAATATAAACACATATGACAGAATATAGGTTGTTGTTGTATAGATATAAACACATATGACAGAATATAGGATGTTGTTGTATAGATATAAACACATACGACAGAATATAGGTTGTTGTTGTATATCCGCAATGTTTGTGTAGATGTATACACATACCACTATCACATACACACACTTCCGCATCTAACGAGCAACTACAGAAGTTCTCACCCGTCATCGAATATGGATGTTATTTGGGGCGCAGGCACACTTGACCTTTTCACCCAACAACTCCAATATGGCACCCCCCCCCCCCACCCATGACACTCGAAAAATACGAGAGTATACACACGCACGCACGTACACACACTATATACAATATAATATACAAAAAAAGTATACACTAAGATACACTCAACCTCTATAAATACACACCTCCACCCAACAGGTCTAGTAAATCACCGCCACCACCAGAACTGGGCGCTGTTTGGGGCGCTGGGGCGCTCGACCCACCACCACCCAGTAGATCCAATAGATCACCTCCACCCATGGCATTGGACTGTGGGGCTGCGGGTGCAGGTGAGCTGCCCATATCATCACCCCCTAAAAGGTCGCCTAATAGGTCTATATCACCGCCACCACTGCCACCACTACCCTGTGTATGTTGTATGGAATAGATCGAGAGAGGGTATTGTTTAGAGGGATGTGGAGGTGCCAGCAAGTATATATATATATATATATATATATGTGTGTGTGTGTGTGTGTGTGTGTGCATGCATGTCGTGCGTTTAAAAGAATGTACACGAGAATATACTGGATGCTATGCTATTATACAGGATAGGTCCAAGGAGACATGTGATTGTATTCAAGTATGTAAACATGAGAGTATGTGCTATGCGATCAAGCAGAATAAGCTTAATCTGAGATTGTCGCTGAGTAAATACACTCGAACTGAGTAAATACACTCGAACTGGTGTGGGGTAAGCATGAGTAACGATTGTTTCCGAGTTTATCGAGACAGAGACCATTTGGTTTGGTTTGGGGGTTTCGTTGGGGGGGGGGGGGGGGGGGGATCAGTAGATGACGAACGTCGGGAATGAGGGTGGCGCACACATGCGCAAACCGTACGGGCAAATAGTACGTACAAGTTCTTCCAGGAGACTTTACAATGTCGAAGGTACACACAGACACGCATGCCTACATCAACTGAATGACATACATACGCACACAACAAGACTTACGCCTCGGCGGGGCGAAGGACTTCTTGAAACACCTCCACGGCCACGGCCTTTAGGCGATAGCGACCTTGAACGTGAACGTGAACTGCCTCTGCCGCCGTCTGACGGTCGCCGTTGTCGGTCGTACCTGGAGGGAAAAGTGTGCACGCGTGTAAGTAATGCATGTATGTTATGTATGCGTAGGTGTGTGCATACGTGGCGTGAATCTATACGCAGTTGTGCATGTTAAAACGGGTGTACATCGCAGCTGTAGGTAAAATTGTGTGACCGTGTGCGTGGATGCGCACCTGTTCCAGTCGAAGGTGTATAGGGTGGGGGTGTGTTTACATCTCTGTGTAAGTGAGTGAATGCATGTCTCTGTGAGGGGTTCTGGTGAAGCGAGTCCGGAATTGGCATTTCACCTGTAACCGTGATGAGAGGACTCCAAATGTGTGCCAGCGTTCTATGTCGCATGTAGCGCAGCCACAGATAGAGCCGGCAGAGTGGACAGGCCACAACCAGCCACCGCTAATGAGCTTCACAAAGTAAACGGTACACGCAGGCCTATTGATATAATCTTAATTTTTAACACATGACTTGCCAAATACATCCACGATCAATAGATGTCTGTTACGCAAAGAGCATTTCGGCACATGAAAACAAATGCACGACAGTGTGCGGTTGACCATTACCCACGCAACGATGGCCCACGACGTCTAACTGTCAATTGCGCTGTCGCAGACCTAGAACGCAAAAAACAAAAAAAACAAAAAGGAAAAAACCTAAAATCGAAAATCGAAACGAAAACAAGCCCGAGTGGTACCTGTCTTCTTCGCCATCACTGGCGTCCATAGCTTCGTTAATGTCGTTGACCTCTTTGAGTGGCATGGGCTCGAGCAGAGCCCCTCGAAGCGAGACAAACTCGGGTTTAAACAACTGTGAGTACTCAACGGATCTTTGTTGCAATTCGCTGCAATAGGGAATGCGTGCGGAAGGGCGGATGAGGTATAGGCAAGCTGGAGGGGATATCATTTAGATTTGTGGTCGGGAAGATACACACACGCATTTATATATATATATATATCTATATCTATATATATATATATATATATATATATATATATATATATATATATATATATATATATATATATATATATATATATATATATATATATATATATATATATATATGTGTGTGTATTTATATTGATAAAATCATCCACTCACATATACTAATACGCAGTACAACGTATGCACTTACAGATCCATGGATGTCTGATAGTAGTCGATGATCTTCTCAATGCGGTCGTTTTCTCCGTCCAAGCGCGACGCTAGCTTGACGAGTGAATTGATGACGAACCCTTTTGTCACTTGTGTGCTGAACCCACTGAACAGGATACCCTCTAACATGTCAATCACATCCTGGGTGGATGGGTGAATGTGTGGCACCGTACGTTGCTACGAGTGAACATAGGTCAAGAGTGCACGGACACAATAGGTTGATGGTGGATACACACAAGGATGTGCGAGCTTGGCCAACTAGGACACCGCCATCCGCGTCTCTGTGTGTGCTTCGTGGCATCATAAGTGTGGCTAAGTATTGACAGTATCCAATACCTTGCACCCCCCCTCATGGCACAATCGTGAGTATGCACAGACATGGTACACTCAGTGCCACAGAGACACGCACACACAGCAGCACTCAGTTTGGTCCACCAGCCGCGTTACGGGCTAGGCTACGCGTGACTGCGCCGGCCTAACACCTCGCATACTCCATGCTACACTCACCACTGAGGTACAAACACATAGCACATCACAGTTATAGGACTCTTGAAATGTCATCCACAAACGGATGAATCCATGGCTATGCCCAACAACACAACTACATCACGCTGAAGGATATTCGAGTTCCTTTCCTCCGGGAACGTTGTAAAGAAAACTCATGCTCATGTCTTAAGATATGTACCTCTATAAACGAAAACTCATTCACATATTTACTTATATAAACCCCTATAAATGAAACCTATCAACATATCTTATGCTATATACTCCTATTAACTCAATTCGCCGCATATCTCCTCCACCTAACTTCTCAAGTGTATCCTAGAAAAATCAGTCTCATTTTGGCCAAAATGACCATGTGCTTGCATGATAATCTACAGTGGGAATCGAATTCAGGTCAAGACTATCATATAGATACCTATCAACCTACACATCCCACTGACTATATGTCTAGCTTCTCTTACTTCTCTTGCAGTCCATCGGACGCTCGGTGCTACTCATTTTGTACTTAACATATGCATACAAAGTCACTACAAACCGTTCCATCTGCATATCCCACGCCCCACCACACACACACTCTCTCTCTTTTTCTCTTATTCTGCGGCAGCAATGGAATCTTTGCCCCCCCCTCTCTTTACCTATGACATACACGCAAAGCAACACACTATGCATCTCTTGGCTTATTCATTCTGTGGCATCAATGGCCTCGCATTCCCCATAGGCCTATTACTTACAGCCATAGAAAGTATCACACTGTACAACACTCTGGACTCACTTCTTCTGCGGCATCTATAACCTCGCATTCTCCTTAGACCTAAAACATACACAATACACAAACTATTACACTATACATCACTCTGAACCCGCTTCTTCTGCGGCATCAATAACCTCACTTAGACCTAATACACACACAAACTATCACACTATACATCACTCTGGACTCACTTCTTCTGTGGCATCAATTGGATCCTCGCCGTCGTCGTTCAAGCCTCCAGCCACCAGATCATCGCCATATTCCCCAATGCACCACGCAGCAATCTGCACCGTAGGCTGCTGCGAGATGTCGTCTTGCAGCGCCAGGTACAGCCGCTGTGTCATGTATGCGTGTAGGTCCTGTGTAGAGGGAGACGTAGTAGGTGTGTGTGTGTGCGTTTGTATATTGGGGATGATGTGTGTAGGTGTAAGTGTAATGGTCAGATGTTAGTAGTGCATTGACAACGGCGATATACACGCATGTAAGTATATTCTATAAAAGAGACGCGCACAGGTGTATATGTACGAGTAAGTTGTTGGTTTTTCTGGTAGGCGTGTGCATGGGGATGTATGCAAGTCTTGTCCAGAGAGACTAATATATGAGTATATGTATCAATAGATTGCAGACGTCTATGGCAGCTATATGCATGCAGATATGTAGTTAACTGCGTATTTATATATATAAATATATCTGTCAAAGAAACAATGTTACTCTGATAAGTTGACAGATTTAGGAGTAGATGCGGTCTCTGTTTTACTTATGCGTGTAGATACTGTGCATGCAGGCGTACCTATTAATATCAGATAGAAAACTGATAGGTACTATGTGTGTGTTGACAGACATAATAATTGCACGAGGCTGATGTACACAAAAGGTGCACTGTGTATGCGTGGAAGTCCTATGTGTATGGTGGCACACCTTCGCTTTCTCGTAAGACGTTGACGTACACCACAGCTGTATCGTATTGTGTATGGAGTATGTCGCATACACATGCACAAGGTAACCGACCACTCCAATACAACCCCACTCCACCCCTCCCCCATACCTCTGTATTGGTGATCATGTGCACAACCGTAGTGACCAGCTCCTCCGTCACGTAGTTGCCAGCAGACGTCAGCATCTTCAGAAGAGTGTCCATGTGCCATCTCTTGTTCGGTGCGAAACGTGCGGCAGAGGTGGCGATGGACGAGCACATATATCCCTTGAACTCTGTATCTGCCACGTCCAGGAAGGCCAGGATCTCGCGCATTAGGGCCCTTACGTTGCCCTGTGGTGTGTGGGTGGTGCAGTTGGGGTGTGTGGTGGGTGGTGTTTGTTGGGTTGCTCTGAGGCATTTGCGATCGTATATATACAAATGTCCGAACTGTAACGTGTGAAGGTATATATTTACATACGTATTGCATGGGTGGGGATTGTAGGGAGGCGCGGGGCCGAGGTGCGCAATGAGGAGAGGAATGTTATGTATATAAGAGTTTATGTGCACTATCGGGTACATGAATTCGAACACGTACGCATACGTGTGCACATATATATACGTGCGAGTAATTTTATGTACGTATGGGTCATATATATATATGTCATATATGGGTCATATATATATGTCATATATGGGTCATATATATATATATATAAACATATATATATATATATGGGTCATATATATATATACATCTATATAAATATCTATATGTATATATATATATATATATATTATATATATATACATATATATATGTGTGTGCGTGTGTATGGGTACATGTATATACGTATACATGCACCCATAGTAAATACCCATACCCATACATGTATACATGTATGCTTCTTATGAGTACTTGTACAGGTGTGATATGCATATAAATACACATGAATGTAAGCAACTACCTCAAAGCAAAGTCTGTAAGAGTGTGTCGTCTCGGCTAACAGAAGCCTCAATGTCTGACACTGGATGCAATCGTACTCTAAACACACACCTGCTATTATCAATAAACTTGAAACATCTGATCCAGACCGGATACCCATACAAGTATGAGCACAGTATCTTAAAGCAAGGCACCAGAATAGAGACGACAAGCACAACTATTGCATCGTGTGCAACAAAACATCGCGCCCTAACGTCATGTCTAACTGTATCTGCTACAGTCTTAAACGAACCATTCCAAAATCAGGAAGAACCATAAATCAGACACGCATTAAGACAGAAGGAACCCATACACAAAACATACATTAAGATAAAGATACCCATACACACATATATTCTCAAAAACAAATATTCCCATACAATCAGCTATACATAAAAGTCAAGAGACATGAACACAAACGCAATCATAGAGATAGTAGTCTGAACCTCGCATACAGCAAAACAGACAACAAAGGCGGGCGATGCTAATGCACGGCAGTACCATGCCTAACATGCATACCTTGTTCATGAGTGCGAAGATGAGCTCTAGCGCCCTTCGTCGGATAGAGACATCGGGATCTTTGAGACAGTCGACAATTGTGCTTCTGTGACGCTGTTAGTGCGGTGTGCAGAGGGGGAGATGCAGGCGTTAGTTGGTAAATAGCCGCAAAGAGGCCCGATTACGATTGTTTCACACTTGGCAGTGAGTGTGGGTGAGACTATCTCAGTAAGTGAGAGCGAGAGAGAAGTGTAAGCTACGCGCAAACAGACACATCGTAGTCAGCCGAACTGCTGTGTACTTGATGGTATCTGTACATTCGTATAATATACATTTATATACAGGAACTTCCGCGTTTGAATAGAAGCGTTCCAATATGCACATACGTACGCATTCAGACTAAAAGGTCCCTCTGAGCATACAATCAAGCATGCACAAAGCTACATACACATGTAAATGCGTATATACACATACACGAATACAAACAATCATACCTGAACAGCCTGCATTTCCCCTGTCACACACTTCAGCAACGTATTGAGCGCCACGTAGCGGATATTCTTATCCGTGTTCAGCAAGAACCGACCCAGGATATTAATACTCAATACACGCAGACCACTCTCGGCCCTGATGCTCATGATGGTCCGTGCACACTCGTACAAGATGGCGTTGCCCACATTCTTAGCGGACTCTGTGTTGGTCGCCACCTGTGCGAGGATGTCGTTCATTTGGTCCGATGTTTCGGCGTCGTTCTTACCCAGTACGGCCAGCAGTTGCAGGATCTTCACCTGTGGCGCGTGAGGACCAATAAAAAATTTTATAAAGTTTAGTCAAGTGTGTGTGTGGCGGGAGGGGTGGAATAGACCTATCAGAATGGGGCATTGGGGTAGAATAAGACAATTATTCATTATAGACCAATCAGAAGGAAGCATTGGAGTCGACTGAACGTGAAATGGACCGCTCCGAGACATCACAGAAGAAATCATGGAAAAGCATTCCGCGGATACATCTTTAAAACTTCCTGTCTGCAGAGGTAAACAGACCACACGTGATTATAAAATGGTCATGTTTGTCGGAGATTTTGTATGTGACTGCCTCGTAGACATACAAGCAGCCAGTTGCACAACGTGATATCGTGCTCGTACACTGTCGACACTGCGGAAGTCCCCGGAATAGTACCACGAACGCGTGAAACACTAGAAACCATACATATACTCTTCAGTGCAGTACTACCAACGGGTGAGATATCTGAAACCCCCCGTCGATGTGGTAGCACGGATGAGTGAAATATCTGAACGCCCACACGTACTCCTCAGTGTGGTAATACTGACCCTTAAGACCTCAGAAACCTCTCTCTCACACAATAACCGATAGAAATCCAACAGTATATATTCGTACTTGCACCAGAACATGCTCAGCGATACCATTAAAGCACAGTCGGGTAAGTCTACACATGAAGAAGGCATTCTAGACATATGCATTTATCCGACCACTAAAAGAATACAGGTATTTTCATCTTAAACGAATGAATTCTCATATCCACTGACACTGTGGTTGAGGTGTGCTCAGACATGAAAGATGTCTACAGCACAACGGTTACGACCCATACAATTAAACACTACCAGCGGTAGCAATCTTCCCAAGAGTACCACCCAGTACAGCATCAAAAAAAGCATACGCGTTCGCAGTCATTCGATAATGAACATTCCCAAACTCTCATCCAAAGGGAGCGATCTAACCGATCCTATACAAAAACGCAACATGTACAGTAAGACACTACAGACATTGGCAAACTTTACCTGGAGGAAGGGATCCGTGATACCACTGACATCGTGGTCGGGTGTGTGTCCAGACATGACGAGGGTCTTCAGCATACGCACGAGATTGGGTACCATGCGTTTGAAGAAGTCGAGCGTTTCCGCCTCGATATGACACATGTCAAACACGAGCGTGACACCAGTCAGCAACACTCCCTGTCGTTTCCGAAAACGGGATGGTGGGTGTATTGTATGAGCGAACAGGTACCTCTTTTTGCTGAAAGTACATCTCTGTGTCAATATACACATTAGTTGCATACTGACGTCTACTCGTGTATGGGACTGCGGTCATGCGCTACAGTGAGATCGCGAGAGCTTCATTAAATAGGAGCGTTCAGCCGTAGGTTGTGAACAAGATACAAGGCAAATGAAGCACCACAAACTTATAGGCTACAGTGTATGGTTTGACTAGACACCACAAACGTGGTAAGATTGTCTGGAATCTCAAACACAGTGTGGAAGATGGTGTGGCGGACAGTGACCCAGTGCACTCCCGAGAACCCCACACGTGCATGGATAGCCCAACACCAGACGATTTAGAAATAGGACTCGAGAAAACAGTACGGGGACAAAGTATTAAACCCCAATGCTGAAAGCTCTACCTACGCTGCAAGCTATTGCTCAAGATAAACTGCAGATAACAATTATCAGTGCGCCGCACATACGTTATTCTATGTACACGTTCCATTGTGACATACATTGAAAACAGAAACAGGTCGGCAACCACAAACACCCCACCCTAAATTTGTAATACTAAATCCCACTCCACACACACTGCAATTACCACGTACAAATGCAAACCGACCATATTCAACAAGTCAGATGCATATGCAGTATTCGTAACATACGTGGTCATTCAGCCGCGGATGAAGTAGGGGCAAATAGTTCTACACTAAAACATACTAGTACGACTATACTACCACAACCAACACGCATGAACCACATACCACACGTACACGGATATACATGCCACAACAAAACAAACAACCCAAGCCACATCTCACACAGAGATACAGCTCCTCACTAAAAACAGATAGCTCTCCATCAAAACAAGTACCTTTTGCAATACACAATACAATGTATAACCGTATATATATATATATACACACACATGTGTGTGTGTGCGTGTGTATGTGTGTGGATATGTGTGTGAGCGAGCGAGAGAGAGAAAGCGTGAGAGAAGACATACACACTTTATAACATACATGGTTGCGCTCGTTAAGCAGCTGTCGCACTAGGGGCACATAGTTCTCCATCAAATCGGGAACCTTTCGCACTATGCGGCACGCACACAGTGCGGCCTTTTTGCGAATGGTTGCGTTTGAGCTTTTGAGCAGCTTCTCCACTTCGGGGGACAAGTCTCGGGCCATATCCGTGGAACAGATGTTGGCGAGTGTGCACAGTGCCAGAGATACCACGAACTGGTTGGACGAGTTCATGTCCCTGATGAGTGGGTGAGAGATATGTACAAAGCAACATGAGTATGACTGTCCAGTAATGTGGGTACATTGAGAGGAGGCCGGATCCTTCACACGGATGAAAGGTATGCTTGTGCATACCAGTGGAACATATGTGGGCGAGTGCGTACAGTGCTAATTACGGCACACACTGGTTGAACGAGTTCATTCACTGTTCAGTGGATGAGAAATATATATGGCAATGCAGGTATATTTTTTTAGCAGAGAAGCACCGGCTCGTTTTTTAAGCCATTGTAATGTACACTTTGAAGCAGACAATAGCCGGTGTGTACAGTGGTTCTCAGCGCTACGAAAACACAACCTAATTGAACGACAACATTTTTTTTGTGGATTTCGTTTGATAGAATGGAGGTACCAGTGGAAGCGAGGAGCGGGTGTCGGTCTCAAAATATATACACGGGATGATATTCGAGGAAAAATAACGGAAAGGAACATAGTGCTGAAAGTTTCATCGTGCCAGTAAGAATAAGGCGCCGGTATTGGCGTGGTACATGGAGACGAGGGTTTACAGAAAGTGGAGGCTAGTGGTATTGGTTGTTCGAGTTCACACCGCCGGTGTGAAATTCTGGTGTAGAGGAGGTAGAACAAACATGTACACCACTATCAAGTCGCGGATTAACTATATTGGTACTTTCCATACATATGAAGAAAACAGGGATTCCCATTATTGTTCCACTTCGGGCTATTGGTGGAAGAACAAACGACTAAAATTTCAAAGAAAATATTGCTTCCTGTTTTGGTGGAAGCGTCAGGTCACTTACGTTTTAAGGGAGTTTGTAAGTAGCAGGTGCACATCGGATTTCTCATCCAACAACATCTGTGCCCCCAAATAGCCCATTCGCTTGTCTCCGAACTTCGGAGAAGCAACCAACTTCAGACACTCCAGCTGTGCAAAGTGCGTGGGATAGCCTAGCATGTGGATGTACAGCACCTTGGCCACGTTGCGCGTGCGATACTCTACATCTTCCTCCTGTGTGACACGTACACCAGATAGAGGCGGGGTTGAATAAAAGAATGAGTATTTCTCTCCGATGTTCATACTGTAAAAACATGCAAAGGTACGCGTATAGCGGTGGAATAGAGGTACAGTATCTTGACCACGTTTCGCGTGAAGTGAAGTATTTTGGGCCTTATTTGTGTGTTGCCCCTCTAGACCTGGTAGAATGAGGGTTTGGGGGCGGGGGGGGGGGGGTGATGGGTGTAGAATAGTGTATAAAGTAGAAGGGTATGACAAATGGGGTCACCTATTTATGCAGGGATAAAAGGGTATATAAGGGTCTCTCTAAGGCTACATTATGACTTCTTATAAAACATTACACTGTCTGAGAGCGTTTGAACATCATCGATTCACCGTGCGGCACTATTGATACACGGAACTATACCTTAAAGGCGGTACGAATAACCGCCAGTTCTTTCTGGATCACAGCGCGCTCGTCAGCCATAGTTTTCTGGGATCTATGAAGTTGATCGAGTACGAAGTAATTAGGCACAGCTTGCCACTGGTATAAATACTGACTAATCGAATCATAACTGGAAAAAATGAATACGTAAAAATGTAGCAATATATTACACGCAACAAATCTGACTTGTCAAACATCTCTTTATACACAAAATACCTGACTTTTCAACATTTATTATTTATATGCCTACATATAGATGTAAACAATAATCCAAACATGGATACGAATTATAAAATTGAATACGGATTTGCATATGAACATGGATACAAATATAGATATCAACAAATATATGAATGTACACAGCAATTAATACGCAAATATATATATATAATATGTGGGTATGTGTGTGTTTGCGTATATATATATATATATATATATGTGTGTGTGTGTGTGTATCTATATATATTAATATACATATATGTATATATAAATATAAATATAAACATATATATATTATGTGTTTAAGTATATATATAATTATATATATATATATATGGACGGATGTATATATATATATATATATATATATATGTATGTACGTATGTATTATATTCATATATATATATATATATATATTATGTGTGTGTGTGTGTGTGTGTGTACATATATGTGTCCATGTGTATGTATGTGTGTATACATGCATGTATGTATGTATGTATGCATGCATGT